TTTTAAGAGTTTTAGCCAAATGTTTTATAATATAGTATAGATAGTATAGATATAAATATATATATAATCAAGAGGTTTTCTTATAACTTCTTAATGATACAAAATGGATAGACGAACCTAATGCTCAACATTCTCGAATTTTCTCATGATTTTTGAATGGAAGATATATTAGTTTCAATTCATTGGACCTCGTAAATTCCAAAAAGGTGACACCAAGAAACAAAACAAACTGATTTGGGTTTGCATCTTGAAGATAAAGTTTGTGTCTTGGAACCACGATGATGCAACCAATTTCAGTTCTACGTGTAACACCATTTGCCTCCTTCGAACCACCGTCCAATGGCTGACTCACTCGTCTCTTCTTCCCCTTACCCTCCACGTGGCTTTCTCTCACTTCATCATCACCTTAAAACCGCCATCTTCGTTTCTTTAAAACCACCATCACATTTTCCACCACTTTCATATCATACACCATTCGTATAGCTAGATATCACACACACGAAACCTTCCATTCCATCATTATCATCATGGCTTCAGAGCAGCTAAGGAGGGAGAGCAAGACTGATGAGCGAGAGATTCATGTTGAGAAAGATAAGGTTCCCAAAATTGCTAGTCATTTTGAGTCGCTCACCGTTAAAGATTCCGGCGATCAACCTGGTTCAGAAGCTGTAGTCCACCATGTTACTGGTGCAACCACCGGTGGCTCCGCTTATGGAGCTGGTGGTGTAATGCAGTACGGTCAAGGCGGAGGTGGGGAGGCTCAGAAGGGTAGAAATACACAGAGAGATGAAACTCTTGAAGAGATAGCCAAGTATAGAGGAACTGCACAACAGAACTCCATGGAAGCCATTAGAGCCGCCGAGCAACGCTACCAAAAAGCCAAACAGATGCAGGCCTCTCCTGCCCAGCATCTGGCTGAATCAGCAGGCGGTCAGACGAAAGAGAGAGCGACACAAACCACAGTAAAGAGTTGGCAAACTGGCGAGCAGGACAAAGATAACCTTTCTGGGGCAAGGGCCAAAGAGTACACTGTCCAAGAGGGTCAGCAAACCGGTCAGCAGGCAAAGGAGAGCCTCTACACCGCCGCCCAAACGGCGGCAGAGAAGGCTGCGAGGGCGAAAGACTACACCGTCGAGAAGGGTCAGCAAACCGGTCAGCAGGCGAAGGAGGGCCTCTCCACCGCCGCCCAAACGGCCGCGGAGAAGGCGGCGAGGGCAAAAGACTACACCNCGCCCAAACGGCCGCGGAGAAGGCGGCGAGGGCAAAAGACTACACCGTTGAAAAGGGTCAGCAAACCGGTCAGCAGGCGAAGGAGGGCCTCTCCATCGCTGCGGAGAAGGCGGCGAGGGCGAAAGACTACACCATCGAAAAGGGTCAGCAAACAGGTCAGCAGGCGAAGGAAGGCCTTTCTGCCGCTGCTCAAACCGCCGCGGAGAAGGCGGCGATGGCAAAAGATTATACGGTCGAGAAGGGCCAGCAAACGAAGGAGGGCCTTTCCGCCGCCGCTCAAACCGCAGCGGAGAAGGCAGCAAGAGCCAAAGATTATACGGTCGAGAAGGGCCAGCAAACAATGGAGGGCCTTTCTGCCGCCGCTCAGACCGCTGCAGAGAAGGCAGCAAGAGCCAAAGATTACACCGTCGAAATGAGTCAACAAACCGGTCAACAGGCGAAGGAGGGCCTTTCTGCCGTCGCTCAAACCACGGCAGAGAAAGCCGCAATGGCCAAAGATTACAGTTTCGAGAAGTCCGTTCAGGCCAAGGATGTAGTGGCAGAAAAAGCAACCGGATTGAAGGACACGACGGTGGACGTTAGCAAGAAGGGGGCGAGTTACGTCGGAGAAAAGGCTGTTGCAGCCAAAGACACTGCACTAGAAACCGGAAAAACCACCGCCGGCTACGTCGGCCAGGTGGCGGGAACGGTGAAGGACAAAGCCATGGTAGCAGGGTGGAGCGCAGCAGAGTTAGCCGGTGACGCAGCGGTTGGCTTGACCGAAACAATGGCAAATGTGACCGCCGGAGTTGCAGGATACGCCGGTAGTACAGCCGTGGCAACAAAGGATGTTCTAGCAAACGTCGGAACTAAAACAAAGGAGTTCACGGGCGAGAAGTTAGCGGCAGCAAAGGACGCAGTGGTGGCTACAGAAGCCAGTGCCAAAGATTATGCTGCGAGAAAGAAAGCCGAAAAACTGAGGGAAATGGAAGCCAAGAATTCTGCTCCATCCAAGGTACATATAATCCTAAACGTTGTTTTTGGTTTCAAGTTCGTTTCTTTAAAATCGTACGAGTTCTAATGATATTTCCAGTTGTGAACTTAATAGGGTGAAGGAGAATTCAGCATAGGCTATGATGATGGGAGTGACGAAGGATACGAAGAAACCTTCAAGAATTACGGCGGTGCGACTGGTGGTGTGACCGGAGAAGGAACTTTCGAGCAATGGGGTGGGGGCCGCACTGGTGGTGGTTTTACCGGAGAAGAAACTTTCGAGCAACCAGGCGGTGGCACCACTGGCGGTGGCATGATGCGTGTAATTGGCGAGACGTTGGTTGAAATAGGACAGAATACGAAGGATTTGCTGGTCGGGCAAGGTGGGTACGACGTCGAGCAGTGGCAGGAGGTGGTCGGTGAAGGTGGTAGAAACAAAGAAACGTTCAAAAGGGAGTGAAGTTGGGTGCAATGTTATGGGGGGCCAATTGAGTTTATATGCTGGTTGTGTTTCCATGTTTTTCTTTTGGGTATGTAGAAATAACTGTTGTGTGGACGTCCGTTACTAGCTATGGTTTTCTTGTTTTGTTCCTTCCAACAATGTACGATATCGATCATATAAACGAACAGATGACAACATAGTTCACATCGAGTAGCATCACATGGGGTCGCAATTTTGAATATATCTGCCTTCTTATTGACATGGTTTCTTAAGAGGCATTTCATCGATAGAAATATATCCCTATGAATGGTTAAGGTCGAGAGTCCTTAACTTTTCGTAAAATCAAGTGAGCACCGAACTGGGGTTGAAGGGTGATGATCGATTGTGGGGCGTGTGCATAAGCCGGAGAAAGCACGAAAGAGAAGCGTTGCAGGATCATGACGATTGCTATTTTCGCTTCCAACATGGCAAAGTTTTGTCCGATGCATATACGAGGCCCCCCGCCAAATGGGAAATACGAAACTTGCCCCCCGGATGTCGCTTTCGCGACACCATTGGAGAATCTTTGCGGGTTGAATTCGGTGGCGTCATCCCCCCATGTTTCTTGATCATGGTGTAATGCTAATATCGGCATTATGACTAGTGTTCCTTCGGGTAGATTTATTCCCGCGACCTTGTTTTGCTTGGTGCACATTCGATATAATGCCGATACTCCCGGGTACAATCGTAGAACCTCGAGCAATATCATGTTTACCTAAATAACAAAAACCATGTCAGATGTTAAGATATGTGCGCCCTTATGAAAAGAGTGGAGGTTTCTGCTTGTATACAGGTTCGATGATCTATGTTTATCTAACGTGGGGCTTTAACATGCCCCTTCAATGAAGGCTAGATCTTGACTCTGATACCATGTTAAAGTGTGCGGAGAATCCTATTTATGGTATTTGTTTAGCTAATCTTTTTTGGGACTCCCAACATTATAAATAAAAATCATGAAAAATACAGCACAAAGGATTAACAAATAAGAGCGTACGGTTTTGAGGCGACTCAGTCTATCGAGATCTGGATTGTCGTTTCCGAAGACTTCAAAAACTTCGTCTCTTGCGAGTTCTTGCCATTGTGGATATCGACTTAATAAAACCATCGTCCATACAAGCAAGTTGGCGACAGTCTCATGGCCTGCAAAGTAGAAAAGCTTACACTCTTCGATGATATCATCAATGCTCATTCCAAATCTTTCGTTTCCAGTTTTTTGAATCTCGTCATAGTTTGACTGCAACAATATGCCTAGCAAGTCATCATGGCTGGTTTCTCCGGCTTCCATTGCAATTGTTCGATCATCGATCATTCTCCTTATCAGTTCCCTTACTTCGTGATCGATCTGCTCCATCCTTTTGTTTCTTGTCGATGGAAAGAATCTGTACGAAGAGTACTTAGCTTAGGCCATTTTTGACAAATATAACCCAACTTATAAGTTCACTTATTTTTTTAGCTACTGAAAAAGCCTCGTTTTAATAACCATAAACTAACTTATAAGTTAACTTTTCAAGTAGTTTTTCAATTAACTCCAGGGTTTTATCACTCTTTTCCAATTACACGCCTCATATATTAGAATTGAGTAGTATTTCAATGTCATTTTAGATCATTTTAGGAGCCGTTTACCTAAACACTTACCAGGTAAGTTTACCGGAAAAATTCAACACTATCAATTATTTACCGGACAAGATTTTATTCACTAAAACGCATCGTATGCAACAATTTATCCCGGTAAGCGATAACCATGGTAAGAGTCCTCGTCTTCACTTACTGGGTAAAAACTCGAGATTCTTGCCTTCGCTCTTACTGGGTAAAATTTTTAATTCTTGTCATATTCATCCTGTAAAGTAAAGTGACTTGGTAAGCGCTTACCCGAATAGACGTTTGGTAAACGACACCTTATATTGACATTTAGCTTATCAACTAATTTTTACCAAACGTGACAAGTTTAAAAGCTAGCTTTTCAGCTAACATAATCGGCCAATAGCTAGCTCCATAGATAATTGGTTTGCCAAACATAGCCATAGTGTGTGTAATATTATTTATATATATATATATATATATATATATAGAGAGAGAGAGAGAGAGAGAGAGAGTTTGGTTCATGTGAGACCAGCCTGTTTTCGTGAGGCCACTTTTTTACACTTGTAACTTTATAGCAAAACACTGTGAAGTTAAAAAAAACCGAACTACTCTGTGAAGGTTACCTTCACAGCGTTTTGCTGTGAAGTTTCAAGTGTAAAAAAGTGGTCTCATGAAAACAGGCTGGTCTCAAATGAACCTATGAGACCCATGAGACCACTTCTCATTTGAGAAGTGGTAAGTATTTGAAAAGTAGAGAAGTTATTCTAGCCCTTCATCTAGTCAAAATTTGCAGCTTTGAGCAGAAAGAATCAGATAATTCTTCGAATGATATGTGGAAGATAGAGGAGTAGGTACGTAATTTTTTACAAATAAACGGCAAAACAAATGCATATATGAACTCGTTTGATTCACATATGAACTACTTGACTGGTTCACAATGAACTCGTATGATTCACATTAACTAATTAACTGATTCACATGTAAACTATGGGTTCATATATGCACTTTTTTGCTGCCTATTTGTAAAAATTACAAAACTAACCCTATATTTTTTCTTGACCAGTCAAAGCCACAATTTTTGACCAATATTGATCGTATAAAAGGCTAGAATCACTTCTTTACTTATCAAATACTTACCACTTCTCAATTGAACCATCTCCATATATACATATTTTTCATAGAAATAGATATAAGATCTATGGGGCAATTACTTCCCCTACTGATTCTCGAAGAATGAGGAGCAAGGGGATTAATCGAGAAAGATTGTTGTGAGCAAACATATTAATGGCGAGAAACGCTGAAATCAAAGGCATTACTTGAATGCTATTGCGGGTACATGCGAAGAAATGATGAAAAAGACTATATATATATATATATATATGTATATATATGTATGTATGTATAATTGAGTTCCGGTGAGAAGAGAAATTATA